GATAAATTGAATCAGAGCCGGTGTCAAAGTGGATAATTCACGCACGTGTTCGGGAGTTTCAGCTTGCGTTGGTGGTAACAACTGGCGACCCGCCGTCAATTTAGAACAGTGAACTTGAGGTATGGGGTCAGTCTGAGGACATTATACATGTATCACAGAGCTCTCGAGGGTACATGAGCATGTGTGTACTGGCGGGACGTGCCCACTCGTGTGCACGCATGACAGACTTTAGAGACACTACGAGTACGACAGAAGTCGGTTTGAAAGTGTTTGAGATAGGCCTACACTATCCTCTGCTGGGGTGACCAAGAAAATTACTCTGTTCGCAAAGACGAAGATCATCCCAAGTTTAAAGTTCAGTCACGGCTTAGATGTATGATGCCTTATATCACAATTTATCACGGTTAATTGAAAGCAATTGACTTTTTAATATCCAATATGATATCATTGACATGGAGTAGTAATACTCTTAGATATACTTTGCCATTCTGATGTGAGGTTATTCTTACAGACGTGTGATGACGTTTTGCAATATGGAATATCACAACTATTTATGTTAAATGTTGGGGATGGGCTTTCACCGTTTAGTTTTACATCCAATGTGCAGTTACACTATTTGGATGGGGACTAGGGTGATGCCTGAGCTGGAGAATAATTATTTGTACATTTCAAAAAGGAACCGTAATTTTTTTAAAGAGAAGAGTCACAAGTGTAACTACTGAAACTCTGCTTTCACGGCGTTTTTAAGTGTTGCAAAGATAATGGACAGGTACTAGGCTTATAGGCCTATAGTTGGGGCTGCTGCGAATGGATCCAGAAGAGAATTCCCGGTGACTTTTTTGAGTCAGCGGAAAAGTACAACAAAATCTCAGAAAGTTCTAACTATTTTAAGTACAAAGGCTTTTGAATTTTTTTAAAAGTGTTTAACTTATGAACTTCAAGCAGTGCATCCATGGAGGTTGGACTTACACGCGCCTCATTGGGCTTTTCACGTGGCAAATCCTTCCATTTGCCCCCGGCTACTTGTGTCTCTGTTTAACTTCAATAAGCGGCTGACATTTGGCACCTGCTCGTACGGGAGTCGTGGCAGCAGACGTGACAACGACAAGGTCACTAAACGTCCAGGACAAAACAATAGACGTTCGCCGGTCATGAACTGCATAATTAAACTTGCTTATACAGTATAACGAAGAAAATGCGCAACACTGATGTAACTAGGAGTACAAGATGCTTCCGAAACATGCATATTTTTCTAGATTTTTGTTATGGAAAAACTGAATACAATTTTTAAGTAGTGTGTATTTTGAATTGCCTAGGTCGTTGCCATGTACGAATAGACACCGAGTACGAATTACCCCTTGCTTTATAGCGACAGTTTCTGCAGTGTATCCGTACTAATGCAAAGCCGGAGTTAGAACATGGCCGAACTCCGGTGGCACGTCAAGCGTCAGACTGTTCGCCGATTGAAAGCTTCCTTTTAAAGGAAGATATTTATATCCAGCTTCGCCTTGTTTCCTACCACCCCCCCTCCCGCCTACTCCATCGCTGCGCCGTCGTGGTATGACTCACTAAATACATGACAGTTTGAGTCATCCGTATCACGCAACAGTAATTGCACTGAGAATTTTGCGAGGAAAACCTGTGACATCCAACTCGTTAGTTAAACACTGCCGAAGATTGTCAGCCTGAGGGGAAAATTCCATGGAAAAATCACACCGAAGATAATGCTCAAGACAGTAGTCATGTATCATTAGCCGTCGTTAGACCCTTACAGTGATTCGTTTCACCCGTGGACGCATTACAGGAGATTACTCGTCACCTTATTATATATTCTGGTTTATTAACATCAAATATTTGAATGAAATGGTCCTAAGACCAAAAACCATTCAAATTTACAAAACTTATACATTTCATTTAAAACACTAAAAATAATAACAAAATCAATAAAAATTGTGGAAAGAAAAATAAACTACAAAATTGTAGTCAATGAGGGTATTGTTTAGCGCCTGTAACGTTCAGTGTTGTAACCTGGGGCTATAAAATTAGAGGTTGTTCTGAGTTGATAACCTTTTTCTCGCCGTGGTGGGAGCATTTCGCCAGTCCTAGATGTCATTGTAAAGTTATTACAAAATAATAATACTTTCGTAAACATAACAGGTGAGAGAAATGTTCCTGTTTAGTGCATGATAAGTAAGATTGGTATGCCATATGTGCCACCGGTATTAATGCACAAACAGTATTCCTTCAATGAGGCAATACGAGTTCAACCAATCAAAAGGTTGATTAGAATTTTCTTCGAAAACTCTAATTAGGCAAAATATATTACAAATTATACTGTGAACTGACATACAGCTTTCACGGGTTTTGAGTGTTAAACAGTGGCGTCACCGGGGGGGGCGTGGCCCGAGCGGATGTCTGTTTCCGCTTGGTGTCCCCCATTTAAAAATTTGGACTGAATACGATCTACATGCAACTTACATTAATTCTCACTTGTTTTCAGTGCCTCCTTGAAAAAAAAAAAGTGTCTCTCCCCGCCCCCCTCTCCCCAAAATAAACAAACATCACCCTGTTACTATCGACCAGTGATGAAACAGGGCGTAGTGCTGTTCAAAGTAACGGTACCCGGTACGCAATTTCTCTTCGTTCCTCACCGCCTGGCGCATGTCCAAATATTCGTTAATCTTTTCGTCCCCTTCCTCTCCTCGTTTCAATTCCGATCTGTTTTTGTACAGATGTGCAAAAAGCGTGTGCGTGAAAGTTTCACCGCGGGACCTCCTGACCGGTTCTACGAATTTACCATGTTTGTTGGATGTATTCCACAAGGCAAGGCAAATTGAAAGCCTCTTGGAAAATATTTCTAGTTCTGATACTTCGGCGAAGTGAGTTATGTGCTCAGTGAGAAAGTGCTCACTTTGGGAGCCGCCTACCAGGGTGTCAGACTCGCTGAAACATCTGCAAAAGCGAACGTTCCTGCCCGTCTTTTTTTTTTCTGCACGAGGAGGACCTCTGAGGTCAGGGGAACTTAAATGCAAAGTTTCCGGGATCCCATCCAACCGATAGCAGAAACACCTGGGGGAGTCTGGAAGGCTTGAACTCCCCTCGACGGCGGGGCAAGCGAATTCCCTCCTTCATCTACCGAATTCATTACTGACCCTACCGCGCGGATTTGTCATCGGATACAAAAGTCTCGCTGGGTGCAGTGGCTTGACGATCAGGACGAAAACAAATCTACGAATGCTTCGGTAAAAACCAGACATCTTCTATCGTTCCCGGCCTCGGCATGGTACGTGATTTCGAAGCAGGGTGTCAATTATCTCTGGGGTACAGGGCCCAGTGTCAGAGGTTACCGAGGTGGAAGAGTGTGTGTAATGACAACTACCACTCATTGGCAACCACCAAGGATTTACTAAAGCTGTAGATATCGTAAATTGATTGGCCACCTTGAGCTCCCAAGTAATTTGGTAACGAGGGAATTGGAACACAATCGTTGAAGTCTGCACAACAGACTTAGTAGTGCATGCCAATACAGTGATAGAAGTGGAGAATTGGCCCTCACATTTCTTTCAGAGATCGATCACTTCATTTTATGGGGGGGGGGCTTTAACCTGTATTTTTCACGTTTAGGATACACTCGAAACCTTGAGTCTCTATAATTTGTAGACTTGAGCAAAGGTTTTAAAGCTAGCAAGGAAAGGCTAAACTTCATTAAATACGTCGAAAAGCAAATAATTTATCCTGATTGTCTGACTGCGTAGGAAGATGTGGAATGTTCAGATCATCTTGTGTCTGTTGCCGTTGGTTAACACTCCTGGCTTTGCAGCCTAAATGAACACAGGCCTACATCTTACCGCTCCACGCTCTCAGCATCAAAGAAATACGACACCCAGCATGGTATAGTGCACTTTGACATATCCTGCCGCAGAGTGCCCGCACGCGAGCCGCACTCGCTCGGGCGTGAATTTGATTTTGGAGGATGGTGGAGTAAAAGCAAAGGAAACGGCAGTGCGGCCTCATCTTGAACTGAGAGGAGATGTGATTAATTTTATTCATCCTCTGGAAGGAAACCGCAGAGACTGATTCACTGTCATTGTTCGGCGGAAACGTCAAACCACATACGGAAATTCACAAAGCTTGAGAACATTGTATGCACGGTCATGATGGATCCTTGAGGAGGGGTGTTAAGCCAAAAAGAAAGGAGAAAAAATAACTGTACCCATTTAGTGATACAAATGAGTTCCTCTTGTCGTTGATAATAGGAAATTCATGACAACTGTTCACAGTTCACATTTGAATGAATACAAATAATTGCACCCCCCCCTTTTTCCTCGTTACCTCCGCCCACATGGTGTATTCTTAGCTGGTTGGTTGAACTGTCATGCTGTGTAATGCATATTCCAGAGACAGGTCTTATATACATGATTAAGACCAGCCTAAACAATGTAATACAGCACTCATGTTTTCTTAACTTTCTCAGCCCTATTACTCGCCCCAGCATGATGTTTAAGGGAAAGTATATTCTCCAGTTTAGGGAAATAATGGATGATACACGGGGGGAATAAAATCTCAAATTCTATCCAGCATCTCCCCTTCTAAGAAATTTGTTTACGCTCCCCTTTCCTGATTTCTCAGCATGCTTACTCGCTCTTGGCATGTACTGACCATAGAGCAAGGAACAGAGCTCTGTGTTCTGACCAGGCACCACACGGCGGTTGTCCTACATTTCGCAATCCAGGAAGGTCTTCATTACAGAAAACTTTCTGCTGAGAGTGAAACACCGAGTGTGTATGTACATGTACAGTGTACATGTACAGTGTACATGTACATTCCCACTGTTTGTGCGTCCTTCAGGGCTGTTAAACGTATCGTGAGAAAGTGGACTCAGGCGTTTGGTGAAGACATGACAGTGGTGGATTGTACTTCTGGGAGCGTGCAAACCAGATAAATTTTATGAAGTACTCTACACGGTACACCTATAGTCCAAGAAAAAACGCTGTACTTACCTCGGATGCCGTGCAAGCTATCGAACTGAGGAGAATGAAAAGTAGAAACCATGGGTGGCGAGGAGCATCCATTTCTCAATTAGCTCTGTGCAGTTATTTTTTTCAATCTGTCGATGCAAAAACAACCTTAGTCACATGCGAGTGAGCTTTAACACCTTTTCCCGGTTCTTGGTCAAAGGATGTTGACAAAATAGAAAAGTGCAAGCACCTTGAAATATGAAACGCAATGTCTGATCACTCCTTTTCAAAGTCTCTTCTTAAATGATTCCACAATTTATTCTGTTTAAGTTGTTCCCAGCTGATCAAGCCAAACTTCCCATTCATCGGCCACGAGAGATGGCACTGTCTGGTCAAACCGCACCCGTACGTGCATGCCACGCATCCAGAACACCCCACAGCTAGCTCCAACCTCCAAAGAGTTGGCCAAGCTGTGTCAGCAAGTCTTCCATCCACCGCACACCGCCGGCCCTGATGTCAACTTCCCCCGAATGAGTGTCCACGGCCACAGAAAAACCGGCGCACGCACCTCTCTCCCTCGAGCTCTCGGCACCGAAGGGGTGAGCGTATAACGGAGCCCGGCCAACCTGGCTGGTGCACACAGCACGCCGGGTAAATCAAGCCCTCATCCTGCCGTGACCTCCCGTCCCGTCTAGGTCAGCCACCAGTCGTCAGCATATTATAATCCCCCAGCCCAGCTTGGGGGCAATGTACATGTACGTTGTACATGATCTTGGCATTATCATTTTCTGTGGCTTAACCAAGGCATTTTCTCACCCCTGGGATTTTATTTTAAGGCTCGGGGCCAGACCCTGCCTGACTCTATCCGAGAAGGTTTCGTCAAACCTGACCCCTCCTCTTTAATTGTCGGGTCGATGAAGGTGTTTATTATTCCATGCCGGGAAACTTGAATGTTACTGTCAGGCAAGCGAAGGAGAAAAAACGATGTCACGCATCCGCAGCAGAAGAGCCAAAACAAAACAGCTGAAAAAAAGGAAACGCGATACACATTCGCCAATTAAGTTAATCCTCTGGTTTTGTTCGTACGGAATTTCAAAGAACCTGTATGTGATTGATGCGAACAACCTCCTTGATGTACTGGAAGAACATCCTGTACCGTGGATAAATAAGAGAAGGAAATAGGGTCAGAAGTGGCAAGAGACGCTGTGCCATGCAGAGCGGGAAGTGTGCTCCGAAGGCAAAGGCACAAACATTGCTGGTTTAATTAATACAGCAACTGAAAAGTGGGACTGACGCATAAGGGACAAACTATTTCCCTTTCACCCTCGCATCATTTTCCCCTGTACGTTCCTTATCCTGTTTGTAGTCTTGCAAGTCACGGTTAAGAAACGTTCATAACCTGGAATCATTATTCTGAAGTTCCAATTTAAGTTTTTTAAAAAAGGGTTTAGAAAAAAAAAAGGTTTAGAAACGTTCATAACCGGGAATCATTCTGAAGTTCCAATTTAAGGTTTTTAAAAAAGGGTTCTATGACATCGTTGGGAAATGAAATCTTCATTTCTTGGCACCCCTTCTCGCCTTAGAATTCGCAGGTTCACAGACTCTCGGGAGGGGGAGCTAGCGGTGACTGCCATTTATTTTGATAAGTCGCAAGTGTTGTATCGTCAGCAAGCATTTCTTTTTATCAAGATCCGTGGTATTTTTTTTGTACAGCCCTTTATTCGACGAAAGTCCTAAAATGATGGATTTGTACTTCAACTCGTAGCCTACCCAGCGGGAGGGGGGCAATAGACACAATAATATGCCCAAAACGAAATGGTACTGTCATCTTTGGGGGAGCATCGATGATTCTTTTACGGCTAAGAAAGTTGGACAGTCGGTCTGGCAAACAAGTTCCAATCAGCCCTTTCCCCGAACCAACTTAGACCTAGGTACCTCATTCCCCACTCTATGTCGTCCCTGAAGCACAATTATCAGTTATCCGTCACCCTTTTTGCTGCAGCTCCCTGTATATATATTAAACTAATTCCAGAAAACCTGATTAGTTGACTGTTTCAGAGGGTTAATGGGCTGTACAAATATGTATCGTCGCGACGCCGTTTGATTAGGGAGGGATCTCTGAAGGTGATATGGTGCACGTTCAGGGTTCACACAAACTAACATTTCATTTGGCCCGACCATCCTTGCTTCCGTTTTTGATACGTATTTTCTGTTTCCTGTCGGCCATCAACACTTCAGCCTATAGTAACGCTGAACTCGATGAATCAGGATCGGATTTTTTTTTTCAGATGAAGGCCAATTTTACTTTATCGAGAGCCATTTATAGTTTCATAGTTTCTTACAGAATTCAATCCAAGTTGCACAATCTTACCTGGCCTTCAAGCTCTCGGTTGGCTTCCAAATGAACTGAAAGCTCTCTTAGTCTTATGGGATTAATTGGAGCCTTCTTGCTTTGGCACAGAAATAGTACTGAACCTTGGTCAAAATCGGAAGCGTGTTCCTCGTCGGTCACGGTGGATATGTCCACTGAATCGCCAGGCAGTGATGATTATGGTACAGGTGTATCATGAAGGAGTTTCCTTCCTCCTTGGGCGCATTGAGCGAACGTGCACAAGCCGGGAATGAAGAATGGTACATGTACAAGGTATTTGGATATATATACCCATACCAGAGACTATTGTTATCCTGATAACCAAGGAAAAGGCACAGAACGCCATTAGTTACATAATAAGTGGAATCGGGTCTCATGCAGATAGGCGTCAGTGTAAACTGCTCTCTGAGTACATAAAAGGAACCATACTTTCCGGTGTTTTGCTGTTAGCCTGGGCTGCTTGCAATGCTGCCTTGATTAATTACAGGACAACCATTATAAATGAACAACTGATCTTCGCTTTGCACAGATTCTCGTATTCCTTTACTATCCCCGAAACTGTCAGATGAGAGCTGACGAGCACATGGCAGATAGCAACAGCGCCCTCTGTTGTCGGGAAGTAAAAAACTTAATGGCGAATTAATGTGAAAAGTCAAAATGGCTAAATAAAAAACGAAAGCTCGTGTTTTGGAAGCATGAATAGGTGGATAAACATGTGTCATCTCAATCCAAGGGTGCCGTAAAGAATCTGTCCGTGACAATAAAAGACCAGGGGGGGGGGCTGTGTCTTTTGCCTTTCCCGGTGACATCGCTTCGTCGGCCTCGAGTAAGCCACCTCGACTCGACCTTGTCACCGTGACCTTGTGCCAGTATCCAGCGCTACAGAGGATGTTTCCCCGCCCTTCCCTGCTGACCCCAGGGGGTTATAATTAACGGCTGGAACTCGGTCAGGTCAACTCCGGTTTGGAAGGGGGGCCAGTTATGCCCATCCTGCCCTTCGTCCCGAGTAGAGCGACATGTGTTGCTCTTTGAGTTGACGCGGGCCTCAGGGAGTTTGGTACATACTGTGGTCACACTTTGTATGTCTTAACGGTTCCCTTGTCTGCCTGTTTGTGTAAAACTTAACTGTGTAGAGACGGATGAGGATATGGGTAATTCCACAAATTAGGGGTCTAAAAGTGTGACTTAATTGTGTCCCTGTTACATCTTACCTTTGTTATTGGACATAGAAATATCACCGAAACTGATTTCAAGCTATTACTATTTGTTTGGCAGGTACTTGCATTAATTCTTCACTCTTGGAAATTAGAAAATGTGTTCTGAACTTACAAAATCGTATGTCAGATGTAACATGGCCATGAAAAAAAAAGCTCATTTCTTGAATTACCCATATCCGATTCAGTGAACATTGTTCGGCCCTTTATGGGTGGAAACTCCAATGTGAAATATTAACCACTGAAATGTTCTCTTTGGGAATATTCGTTTCGCTTTTCTTGCACTCCCCTACTCTCGCTGAGTACAGGTATATAGCTACGATAGATATGAATACCCCTGCAGGCTCGAGCAGACTGGTCAAAACATAGGGACCATCACTACTGATAGCAATATACGATAAGAAGTTCTTAGACGTACTGTACGAGCTGAACTCTCAGCAAGTAGAAAATTGTGAGAGGTGCGAACCAGACAAGCACCTAGCGAGAGTAGACAAACAACCCACTGTTCAGCAGAATTATATCGCTACATGGCATGACCGCAAACAAATTCAAACACTGATTGTCATCATGCATATAAATCCTCAAAGCAAATAGTCAGGGTTCCTGCCGCATGCAAACTGATGCATAAGGCTATCAACACATTCGCCCAAGTGGGAGCAATGACGTCGCTGCAATTTTTCACCAAAAGCTAAAAAGAAAACAAATGTACCCATATCTAAATTCAACCAAGTCAATCGTTATGCTTTTATGAAGTCGCACAAGTCAAAATTAAAGACGATTGGTTCACACAATTATTAACATATTTAAAACCAAAGTACTGTTTCTGACATAATAGAAACACAATAAATAGAAGAAATATGTTAATTAATGCTTAAACCAATAATAATTACAATAATATTAAAGCTTATAATAAGTTCACATGTAGGGATATCATTTTGTTATGGCATGACAACATTAAAGTGCATTCATTTTTACTCAAAGTTAAATCTGTATATTGTCAGCATCGATATATAAAATACGGGGAAGCTAGCTAAGTTGACGCAAACACATTGAATTATGGAATTTAAATATTAAATTCGACGAAAATGACTGAGATTTAATTGTCTTAGATAGCACACAATTTTGGATTGTATCTTACTAGAATTACAAGAACGAATTTCGAATCTCCCGCAGTTCAATGCTAGACTGGTTTCCTGCCCTGAAAACAATCGACATCTCTTTCGTTAAGACAGGTAACGCCGCTACCAAAAAGTATATATGACGTAGTGTTAGGACGTCTCAATATAAGACTCGAGAGTTCGTCTGTGTTTATATTTCAGCCTCATCAAGCGTTATCAAAAGCAGCAATAATCATTAAGAAGCACTAATAAAACTGTATGAAGAAGGGTCAGAAAAAAAGTTGTTCTAGATATTTACCAACATAGACGATAAATAACCTTAAATCCCGGCCAGCAAAATGGGTTCAGACACTTTTTCGAAAATGAGAAAAATTCTTATACTTTTGATCATGTGATCCTGATGGCCCCTGGACCCAACGTTTTCACAGATTATTGGAGTCTTTTGGTCTAGGAACTAGACTATTAAGTAAGATCCACGTGTATGGAAAGCACGTTCCAGTTAGTGTCCTAGTTTCATTGTTTTGTGCTTGGTAAGCACACATCGGTATAGACTGCGGAAGTGAAGGAAATAAGGGGTATATTTTGCACCCCTAGTTTTCCAAACTATTGGTTTTCTTCTCTAGCTGCTTCAGGTTGACTCACCTGAATCTACAGAGATGTTTGTAACATTTCGTCCAAAAACAAAACTTTTGTAAATCTGTCGTCACCGCTGTGCAATGGAAACGGTTCCATGAATCTCAGGTGAAGCAGGCAACGTCTCAAAACGACATGGACTATTTAAAATCTGCGTTGCATTTGAAAAATAACCTTTAAATGTCTTTTCCCCCAATCAAGAGCTGAGAAAAAGTTAATACCGTGGTGGTGGCCCCGAGTTGCAGCTAACATCCTCACTTGACGACTAAAAAATGTTCCACTGTTCTCCGAATTTGAAGACGTGTCTATCGAGGGCGCTTTAAAATGAGTCCGTAGCAGAGTATGCGGGTCACTCCTTGCTGTCCTTCGGGCTGCAAACTCTGCAGGTACGCTTGCAAAGACGTCTTACTTTCCTCGTGTGACATTTAGCCTTCCAGTCGTTGTGGTTACATCTAGGATGTTTGTCGATGCATGCATTTTCTATAAAAAGAATGGCATTTGGTCAAATACATTCAGTCTAGCGCCACTATGATTACAAAAATAAGAAAGCATAATATCTGTGTTATTTGTACGAATTTTCTTGGAGTCAGTGGCCTTATACGGAAGGCCTCACTAACTTCTTCGTTATGCCTGGTCACTGAGGTCAACCCATGGGTCAACTGAATTCTTACTTGATCCCGGTCCACAAACTTTGCAGCTCTTCTTGCAATACTCGAGCATGTAGTCTGCTTCAGTCACACATCTCCCTTCGTTGGCCCACCGACTGCATTGGGAATCCATATCTCTGCAGGCTATAAGAGAACAACAGAAGGATAAAGGGCTGAATGAGAAGGACCCAAAACGAATGAATCAAGGAGTTGTGAAATTAGTGGCCAATAATGCAAATGGAACATGCAACACGATAGTAGTTCAACCTTCCCTTGGACCATGGACCATGGGCGTACCACTTTCACGATACATTGCGTGGTATCAACAAGAGGGGCTATTCCCCTATCCTGGCTCTTCATAAGGCTATGGTTTCGTCTCTGGTCCCGAGTTCAAACAGAACGCAAATACACGATCGATCGTCGGCCGTGGGGGGAGGGGAAAAGATACAGATTAAAAGCTAGAGAAACAACAACAGGGAGGGAAGGGGACACAAAAGAGTCCAAAAATTACCTGCGCGAACAAACTCACAATTTGAAAGCTGTCAGTTTCTGTGCATTCTGATCATTAGAGCATTTTGTGATACGTGGACGGGGTGGCTTGTATTTTGTTTTGTTTTGTTTTAAAAGTGGATGCATCCATCGCGTTCGGAGTGCCAGCTTTTATTCCTGAAAAAAAACTTGCTTGTTTCGAGTGTGATCATATATTATTTTCAAAAAGGCGATGGACTTCACAACGGTATTTAGGATTGGTCATCTTTAGAGAGAAACATCTTCAAAAGTTATCGATTAACTCACTGAAAATTGAAAAGTAAATGGAAGATAAGGCGACGAGTGGGGCGATATTTACTACTTTTGTCTGTGTCAGTGTATCAAATGGTCTGCAACCCTGTAGACGTGTAGAGTTTTGAATGCCAACTTACTGCAATTATAGGATCGTTTCAACTCAATCGCGTCAATACGGCTAAGACCTCTCCTGTTGCCAATGACCATGCCCATTTGAGCATTGTTCTTGGGCACAATCGTCGGTTGGTCGTTGACACTGAAGGCTTTGTTTCCGTAGTGCATGACGGAGTGGAAGTCATAAGCCGTATTCAGATCTTCCAGGTCGGACATGCTGTACTTTCGGAAGTTATTTCTTTTATCTGCAAAATCCAAAGAGAGGGGATGGCGGTTGAGAAACAATAATTGAGAAAAGAAAAACATGTACTGGTGACCGTGAACTTGCAGGCAACATATTTTAACGCAGTTCTTGTTAATACATGTACTCCTCTGTGTCCCATTAAACCAGATTAAATTTTCATTTTTATAGTGCCAATTTGATGGGTTTTGAGGCCCCTTTTATTTTTATGCTAATGCATGAATTCATTCAAGGCAGAAAGCTCAGTGTTGCAGCCGTCTTCACTTAAATGGGCCTACATTGTGAATGTTGGGCTGTCATAAAGTGTGTTAACTTCGATGATTTGATAGGCTGGTTGAGCACACAAATATTTTCAAGGAGAAAGTCTAGGATTCGATTTGAAAAGAAATACACCCAACTGGGCAGAATCTTCTTGATATGACACCATAGAAACAGCGAATTCGTTTTTCAGGAAAAACATGGAAAGTTATGAATGTTCAAAAAGTCCGCTGTTCATTAAGAGTAACCTAAAAAGCGACGCTTTTTTATGAACGGGTTACAATTGACAGTTGTCGACAGGTGGTCGCCTCGCAAACTTGCCCTCCACTTGACAATCACTTTAATCGGTTAAAATATTCTCCGGGTGATTAATTAACAGCCCATGCTACGGTCAGAATGTGAGTGGCGGGAATGTTGTTTTTACTATCTCCTTTCCCGGCGTCTGTGCTCAGGGCCGAGTGGTGTGGCCAAGTTTTTTTAACCTGGCGAGGGACAAATTGAAGATTTTCCTGAAACGATTGATCAATTTCTGTTTCCATTGTCAAAGGAATCCCTAAGGAAATCAGGGGCGGATCCAGGTAGTTTTCCGGGGGGTCATACCCCTCAGGGTTTTTTTAATGTATGTCCAGTTGCAGACCCATTTGCTGACCCCCCGGATCCGCGACTGGAAAGTTAAAGTAAACCGTTTCTAAAGTGTTAAAGCTTTCAATTTTTTTCTTAATGAAATTATGTCCCTCGGGACAGGTCTCACACTCGATAAGAGATTATTGAATACTCACCAGCCTGGATGTTTTCCCAAATGATTTCGACGAATTCATCCCTATCCGGCCGAGATTGTTCGTGCACAAACCCAAGGGCGTGAATGAGCTCGTGCACGACGCTGCCCTCCCATCTGCGGGAGAGACACGACTTAACAACCGACAATTCCTGACGTCCTCCTTGACGACCGATGTAGGACCAGCACCTATAGCCACGAAAGAATGGTGCAAAAGATGCGACATCAGTTTCAAAAAAAGAACTGCTTTACAAAAATGATTTGAACGAAATGAAGAAGACCTATGTACTTAAATATTTTGTAAATTATGAAAAAAGGCAGACTGTCTTTTCAAGGACGGATCCAGAAATTCTTCCAGGGGGCAGGCCCCTCATACTTATTGTTGTTCGATTGTTACGGACAGGCAAACACGGACAGTGTATTACGTTGCTACGGATATAGAAACAATAACCTCTACAGGACACCAGTTTTTTTATTATTACTTAAACTGTTACTTCATTTTTTGTGTGTGTCAGAGCAGGAGGTCGACCCTAATCCTCCCCCACCGGACACGCGCATGCTTTTAAACTCGATTGTCTCAAAATGTAATGAATGCTCCTGGTCTTGCATCTTTATACTCGAAGAACGAAGTGTTGACTGGACTAGAGACACGACAAAGATTTACTCTTTTGAACATTACAAAAATAGTGGACCAAGCTTTTTTCTTCTTGTTTAAATCTCAAAAGTGCCCTGTTGTCACCATACTATTTATAATGCCCGTGCTACTTCGTCGTTGCCTTGAGGTCACTTAAGACAATGCACCGGTTTCTGCTTTTCTGTAAAAATGACGAACCTAAATTGAGTATGCTAATACTACTTGGTGCATGAAGTTTGCTCTCAGGTATTTTATGATTGGCCCATTATGTCGACAAGGACAACAGCAAAGACGCCAGTTCCACCATGAGGGTGCTCAGGTAGCAATATAAGGCTCAGCTTGGTTGGCAGGTTGTCTGGAATGAAGTTTGAACATTCTCAACGCGACGTGAGCTAAAGAAACAGAAACTCTTACTCGAAAATGTTCGAGGGTCTCTTAGGAGACCTTATTGACCGACTATGTTCAAGAGTCTTTTAGGAGACCTTATTGACCGACTAGCTGAAACCAATCGAAGCACGTTGGTTCAAGCCCCACATCCTTCGTATCTCGGTTTCTATTTTTCTGTCTGAAGAACCGTGTGCAACTCACCCGTTCTTTGGAAGTATGTGAATGTAATCCCGTTGGTCAATCCTTGGCACGAACCGAATGCAAGTGCTTATGTGGATAATGGTAAATGCAGAAATGATGTGCCGTCGGGAACTATCATCTGTGACCAAAAGCAGACAAAAGGAAAAAAAAACCTGTCACACTTCCAACGAATTGAGATTTCACTCTTAAAAGAAAACACACTGGAAACAGCAATAAACCAATATAAACAAACCAAACAAAACGGCAGTGCTGGCTAGGGCCGGCACTTTGTTGTGTAGTAACGACGAACGTTTACGCCAACAGTCATGGGCGTAATACATGGAGGGACGAGGAGTATTTATCCTCCTACTTTTTGACCGGGGCTTGGGCTATTGAATCATCCAGCCACAATTTGTCGTGGTGCATGAGATTGTGAAGAAGTTTTGGGACTTTCCAACAACCGAAAGGTATTCAATAACACTCAAAAGGGGAGAGCAATTTAAAACAAATCAATAAATGAGCCGTTCCAATGTAAGATTCTGCAGGAAAGCATCACACATCACAGATGTACAGAGTATATCTGTGTGAACACCGCCCCATGGTATACAGTCGTGTCATATAGTGTCAGCACTCGCCCACAGCTTTTCAAATTTCCATGGTTAGGCAAGAAATACCCCCCCCACATACACACACACATGCGTAAACGCCTTCAATCGTGGACTCCCTATTGGTCCTCTTTTGTTCATACTTTTTCGGAAGACCTCCCATATGTTTTGTACACGTTTTCCAACCGTGGACTCTTCGGCAACCGTGGACCCTATTGTTCCCTATTGTTATAGGTCCACGATTTATTTAAATGTGTATACAAACTCCTCCTTACACAGCTATACTGGTGGGGTATTTCCTTTGTTCTCGTGTACAAAACTCCCACACAACACGCAAAAAATTTCAAATCACTCCAATTCAAACTAAAGTCACTTTCCTGGGTCGAAATTTCAACCGTATGTCCCTTATATAAAACACTTCAATTTGCGACGGATTTTTACCCATCGAAAATTTCCCCTTGTTGAGTTATTTCCAAATATCAGTTTCATGAGATTCTTCAAGGGGGTACCAATTTTGGTACCCTACAAGGTAAAAACTGGCTTTGTGGGGTACTTCCCATCGTTCCGGTACCCCACAAGGCCCCATGTATAAGCGCACCCACACCTATAATTCCCCATCCCTGCCCCCGTTTACTCTTCGTTGGTTGTCGCATGTTATTTCTTGCTCAGGACACATACAATAGAGAAAACGGAAAGATTGTTTTCATCCGTCCATCGTCGTTCTCATTTTAAAAACCTACAGACAAACAGCCCAACAAACCATAACAAACAAACAGAGGTCGGCAGGGCCTCTGTGTTGTGAGATGGCATTCGTGCACGAATTGGTAACCTTGCGAACTAACCGTATGAGTCGTCTATTATGTAGGGGACTATACCCTCTGGCCAACGCGTTGAGCTTTCGTCGAGAGCATTTCTCTTGTAGATTGTGTGCTGCAAAAACAGAAGTGGTGGTTTAATTAATTAATTAAGTTGAATGTGTAATACCAGGCTACTGCTCATACAGCAGACGTACTTCTCGACCTTGAACGAGCCACGTTTTTCAAGGTGTCGCACTGCTTAATATTCTGCTGAAGTGTTTGTAAACTTTAGAGCAGGAGTATGTGGGGAGGGTAAAAGTTGTTAAGTTTGTAGAATTAAACTGATTTAAGAAAACTTGGTAAAGTTGAAATTTCTCTTACAAAAGGGGGGGGGGATAATGTAAAACTTAAAAGAAAAATGAAAAGCATTTTAGTTAGAAACAATGAAAACATGCTATCAGGTAAATTTTGCCATATTGACATCTCAAGTATATCAGTCGAAAAACAAAAAACTGAAAGCAAACTTCATGGGGCATAGAAGGAAAGGGTCTTTTAAAGAGGATATTTCTGGAGGCGGAAATAAGCGTTGCTCAAGAATGACGTGTCTTGATCACTTACATGTGGATGTGTACTTTCAGAGGAGCTATTCGGGGATGGCATCATGATATCTCCTTCAAAGAGCTCATGCTGGATTTCTGAAAAAAAATAATAGAAACGAAACTAGTAGTTGTAGGAAACAAACTTTGCGTACGGCAAAAGGTCTTCTGCTTTTCCGAACGAGGAAATTTAATTTCAAAAGGCCCTCATGGGAAACTTGGTGGGCGGTAGCCGATGGGAATTAGTTTGAGACGTCAGTTTTCGACAACAGACATCCGGGTGCAGACCACTAATATAAGTGAGAATTTCTGGCCAGCTCATTAGCATTAAAAGTGCCCCCCACAGTATCTTTTGAAAAAGGAGATTGTTTGGCCCCTAAAATGGTTAGATTGTGTAAATCGTTGCCAGGATGAACTCCCTGGGCCTTTGAGCTTTCATATGAGAGCAGAATGGTTAAAAACTACGGTTGAAAAATGGTCCTAAGTGCCCGAGAACGTTGCCACTTGAAAAATGGCTATAAACGGACTTAAGAAAAATCACTTTTCGGGGGGTCATTTTGTTTTATGGGAATAATTAAAAATGTAATTGGTTAACCTACAGAAAAATTGAAAAGAAATTGAAAGATTACGGACTAGACAATAATTTCATTTGTGTTTCTGAAATTTCAGGGATGTTGATATGCATGTTATTGGGCCCTGAACAGTGCTGATTTTACACTGTTTTCAACGGGGTTTGAATTAGTGGACTGTACCCATCCAAGCCCTTGTCGATTTTCAAGTAGGGCGCCCTCTCATGACTAGTTTGGTTATTCTTTGCTTTGACTCTCTTCTCAGTTTTGTGGTATTGACAACAGTTCCAATGTGTTTGTCCTCGTTTCTCCCCATTCCAAACTCGTTCTTGATATGCTTGAGGCTTTCAGTGCTAAGTTACAATAAGACATTAGGTAATAGGTATCATGGGGGTGGGGCCGCAGATATGAAGTGGTGCTCCCGGGATATGTCGTGGGGGAGGGCTTGATTCAGAATCTACTTACCCCCAATAGTGCTTGAGCCTACCCCCCATGCCCAGTTGCGACACGGTGGATTGGGATGTATGGCTGTATCAAAGGTATAGATTTAGGTTTTCTTAAAGATGGAGGTGAATATGTAATCTTTATCATTTATCAGAAAGTCAAATTTAAAACCTGGTGGTGGTGGTGGGGGGGGGGGGCTCACACCCCGAGTCCACGTGCACCATGGGTGCGCCACTGATAAAATCCTGGTATAGGAGTGAGGTATACTTACCATCAGGGACGTTCTCATTTGCCAGCAAGATGAGATCCATCGCAACCATCTCAGAGCTATTGCTGATATACACCGAAGCTGTGAGAGAGAAAAAAACAGATACGCAATAGTATTGTACCTGAGGGCTGTTTTGATTAGTGTGGTGTTGGTGACGTGACGACGGTGGTCAAGTGGGGATCCCGAGTTTACATCAATGTTTCCCCATTATTTGCCACCCCCCCTTGAAAAAATTACCCCTCCCCCTCCTTGATATTTGGTTCCTCTGGCCGCCCATGGTGGTGAAAGTAGCGGCAGTGGTAGGCCTACTGAGAGGACAGTTGTTGGTTGGAGAGGGGGCGTGATGGTGATTTTAGCAATCGATGAAAAGTTCATTAGCAGGCATGTACGATAATTGAGTTACTTTTTCTAATCTTAGCCAATTTCATCCAACTTACCATTGAGTGTGGTGTTTTCTAGTACGATCTAGGGAAAGAGAGAAAAAAAATCAACTTCAATTCAATCAATTTGTTTTGGATCAAGATATTTGTCGACCTATTGCTTTAGCGTTCACAAGAAGGCGGAAGGAACGGAATCAGTTTGTGAGTCCGTGAAATACTTCTTGGTCAAAGTTAGTCAGGGTCATAAGAACAGAGATTTCAAAATGAGATTCGATGTAATAATTTGGCTGTACATGAACATAGATAAAATTAAGGGTACAGAAAGACGTAAGGCGTTTTGTGAATATGAACAACACAAAGCAAACTGTGTTGCAGACAAGAAGCTGATTAGTTCTATCTGCATGTAATTGTCAGTATTGTCAAAATGATTTCCAGCGTTAAATGGTCTCACCTTTGTTTCAGCTTCATCTTCTGGAATTATGCCACTACCGGTCGACGTAGGCAACGTCGATTCCAGGCTACTCGAATACAGATCAGATGAACCAACCTAAAACGAAGAAGAGATACCGGTACGTCAATATTTTGCATCACTTTAGCATGACTTTATGCGTGCACTAAATTTCTTGAACCGAGCAGGTCCGCCAAATTCGCAGACCAGCTGAGCAGAAGATATTTGCGCATATTATCTTTTGGATTGAGTGGTACTCAAAGACCAGCAAACATGCATTGTTTTGGGTCTACAAATTGTTCCTGGGGCGCCTTGGGTGGAGACAAACTTTCCCTGAACAAATCTTTCTTGTGCTGTCGCCTCAAGGGCGGATCTGGAACTAATTTTGAGGGGAAACAAATTTGAGAATTTCTGTATGTAACCTTTCTGAAGGAAAGGCTAAAGGCACCTCTCTGAAGGAAAGGCTAAATTTCGGAGTTTCTACGTTTTTGACGGGAAGGGAAATTAATAGTCGAGGCAAAAATTGGCTTTCTCATATTAGTTTTCAGTCCCAGGGGTGGCATGGCTCCCGCTGGCCCTCCTGGATCTGCTGACAGTCATTCAGTGCCTTGAGCAGCTGTCTGAATTTTGTCTTCACTGATTTTATTTGCAAAATTAAATTTGAAAGTCAAGGATATTTCGCAGAGATAACAATATCAGCATGACCGCCATTACAATCGTGCGCACACTCGCGTGACAATAGGAGTTCTGATTGTGCAAAAGGTGAACATTCTATCCGTGAATCCACGCGGAGGGCATGCATCACTAGATTGAATGCACACGATGTCAAGAGGTCGCTCGTGCCAGGTATGTTCAAGCACACGACCGGACGAATATGCAGTGCTGTCTCACTTTCGTTGATCGGAGTCAAGGTTTTGGGCAGGCCAGTAGGGAAAACAGTGTCCAAATCTTAGGCAAGGATACTTAAGCTTAGATCACATACAAGTGCACAGGTTTGCTTTCCTGCGTTTTTCCCACTGTCAATAATACAACCTTTATATGGTTATAATAACGGATATTAATGACGTGTTAAGTAACACCAATATCCATAAAATCTAAAAGTAGGGAAAGGAATTAAAAATACCTCGCTCTTAGTATTCAGTACTCGAATTTTTTTCTTACCAATTAAAATCTTTGCAGAAATTCTCGGACTGTCCGTACTTCAATGATTTCAATAATCAAATCAATAAAAATGTTTTACAAATTATCAAAAAAAGAAAGAAAAAAAAAAAACTAAAAAAGGAACTCTCAATCGCCACCGTTAGCTAGAAAATACAGCTTCTGGGGATATAACTCATGATATCAGCAGTTTTGTTTGACAAGCCAATATCTCAGGATGACTTTTTCAATGTAACGTGAGCAACCGCAGCATTGCTACCGTAAACTTCCAATGACCACAATAATAATTGGATTTGCTGTTCAATCCTGTCTGCAGTCGGAAGGGCCCAAGATATTCTCCCCACCTCCATTGTTGGATAGTCAGTCATCTGTTATTATATTTTTAGACCTAAAACATAATGACCTCACGCTATGTTAACATGTGTGCTTTCCTGTATCGGTACTGGAAGGATTTCGTCCCACCTCACTGTAACAGTTTAATACGGGCGTTTCAAAATAGTGCACCTCCAAGAGTTTGCAACGCGTTGGCCAATCACAATGCGTGAAATCTGTCTATCCAATGCGCGTTTGAAAATGGTCGATGAATTTCGCGCGTTGTGATTGGCCAACGCCTTGCAAACTCTTGGAGGCGCACTATTGTGAATCGCCCCTATTCGACAATCAGAAATAATAGAGGCCATTACTGCGACAGCACAACGCACACTCGTGGACAGGAGGTACGCGCGCGTTACATACCTCTTTTGACTAATTGGGTGTCGTGATTTGCCCGAAAACACGCGTGCGTCAAGCTGAAGAATATGTGTATGAGTGCGGTACGTGCCACTGCAGTTGTGGCGTCTAATCGGGTCAGTTTATAGCCTAACATAGAGCACATGGAAAAACAAAGCATGACTTCATTATATTTTAGGACCATTGACAGTTGATAGTACATCAGTTTTCTTTCTATCCACTAACAGGGGAGTGAAGGGACACCCTATGGTGAACGCGGTTTTTTTCGGGGGGGGGCTGACAGCTTGTGCACAGGCTGTGTGCATTTCAAACGTTTCCAATGCGGGCACCTGGGGGTGTGCCCAATTTCCCTCGTGCCCCTCCCCGTGGTAATTACGCCACTGAAGTCGCCACGTAAGCAGTCTAAGTTAGGGAAATAAAACTCACAAGGTCAGTGAAACTTCATGTACACAAACTGTCCCCTTGCACAACAGTTGCGACATTTAAATGTTGCTCATCCCAGTGAAAATCTGTGTTTTGCATTAACAACGCCGTGTCTGACTGATATTCGGCGAAAATGAAAGTTCAAGTCTACTTTAGTAGACGGATAACAAACAAATTTTGACAGAAATGCATCATCAGCAAGACACAACCTGTAACAACAGGATCTATAATGTCTGTGTTGAAATGATGGATTTCAAGCGAACGGACCATTGATAAAAAGGATTCGTTAAATATAGAAATCTGGCATCGTAGGCCTTTTCATCAACATTTTCTCGGTGCGATTTTTATTTTTGGTATTAGCTTTGTGTCATTTGAAGATTTGGTTTGTGCAAACATCAAGTTGGATGCTACAGAACAGAGCTGTCGGAACACTGTGTTAAAAGATAGTCCAAATAACACCCGTGTGTCGTTGAATCCACACACTTACCTCTAAATTTATCGTATGTTTTGCTATGCATAAAAACCCTTGAACTGATTGACTACAACAGTGTACGTCCTGCGTCCCAACCTCAGGCGAATATCATAATACCAGGTACCACATAGACAGCGAAGTAAGTAAACAGTTTAAAGAGACGGTGCTCTGTCCAATCAGGCTTTTCAGTTAACCTGAATTATCTGACCTCCGAGACAGGCTTTCTCAAGACAAGACATGCCTGTGCATGTTCCCTGTTATGCGGCTCTGGTTTACCCCTAAAAGAGCTGGAGCGGAATCCAACCTCCTCCCCCGATATTTTCTCCGATACTGTCGCGGTGCATTTTCTCCGTGCCGTGCATTCGGTGGTTTTTACCAGCATGTCTTGCAATCACTTTGACAGAAATGCTGTGAAAATTGGACATGAGGATCTCGCGAAACCCCTTTTTTTGCCGAGACAGGTCACAGCCCGAACCGTTAACTTTTCCCTTTGACGTGCTCAGCACTCGCGGGCCGACACAAAACTTTGTTTGTCAGAGGCCGTGAAGTACGAATAGCCATAAGAATAAAACTATCTGTTGGGTTGACCTAAAACTTAAGGATGCGCATGCATGCCAAGATTGAAAAAAAAAGATTTGGCTGGGACAGTCAAGTACCTAGGGGTGGAATCCGCCCCCGGCTGATGGTGTAAAAAAAACTCTGCATCTTTTAGGGTTACCTAGAAAATAAACACAATTTTGAAGGTGTATTGAAGTTTTTCCGAATGGAGATTGCTAGTAAAAATGTTTCTTCAGTCATACATTAATGCGTTGATCCTGGAGGGACATCATCATAGCTGGCAAAACTTGGACTGAGGAATTCATTTATAATGATTATGCAGAAAAAAAAAATGTCCTTGAAAGTGCGACCAGTAAACCAAGAACTTCCTCGACCGGTGTATTCGATATTTTTAATAACAGCCATAATTTTCATCCTATAGAAATGGCAAAATTAAAAGTTTTCCCCTTGGTCACCCTTCAACAGTTTGCAAGAGAATGTTGACAAACATACCAAAGAGCAAAGATTGCACTGAATCGCGTATAGAGCAATGTTCGTCTAGTACCTGTTGCTCATCTTATACTCAAACAAGCCGTCTGACTGGATTAAAAATCTGCACTAGCAAGCAGACGGTCGTGGGTTTAGGTCCCGCTCGAGTGAGCTCGTGAAGTTTTATTTTTCACAAGCCCTCAGAGACTTTTTTGAAAGAATCCTGGCAAACCAATGACAGAAAGAACATATGAAGGGCATCCTCCTACAGGCATATTTCATATATAGCAATCGATTGTATTCTACTCACCGGGAAGGCGATAACTAGAACCGGCAATAGGACAGCGCACACGGCGACTTTTATCGTAAAAGCATTGCTCCCCACAACGGCTGCTTCCATATCGGAGTTTGCCTAGAGCAACCACGGCGAGAAAAAGAAATTACAACTAAAACACCAACTTCCAAGACACCCCGATGGTTCCAGAGGGAGTGAGAGCACCGACGAGCATGGTGCAGACTCTTCATCTCTCGGCCTCTTTTATAGAAGATTCTCCAATCATTCGAGGAAGCTTTCCACATAATAGTTCACGGGATGTCCGAGTCATAAAACAGCCTTACTGGTGATCTACAAACGATGAATGGCTCAGTCACTACTGTAAAAAATGACGTCATATATACTAGTACCACCACCAGTTAGAACATGTTTGACAGATAGGCTATACGTACATGTACAGTACATGTACAGGTACATGCACATATAAATACGCCCACACATTTACAACTCGACCTTGCTAACTGACAAGGCACTGTCTCGTGTACTTTCGCTTCACTGGCAAGCACATCTGTTTTGCTTTATTTTGTTTTATTTTATTTCGTATGAAGTCCGAGAGATTTTTAATTTTTGACTTAATGAAACACTTGTGCTAATGTCCTTGCACACTGGGGAACGTTTGGCAATGCTCATCGGAGGTATAGATGAGGTTGACTCAAGGTTAACTGTTACAAACACATTTCATCAGAGGGTGTAGTGGATTCCACTTTGTAGTTTTGGAAAGAGGTTTACGCGGAGAAAGCAGGGACACAAATTTGATCTAATCTTACGAGGTGAAACCCCATATTTATCAGCAATTAGGCACAGTAGAAAAACGGGCACTGTACTACTGATTGTCTGTGGCTATATATAGTTAAAACTTACTTTAAGCTCACTCAATTCAGACAAAGCCATTGCGTCTGATAAGAACTTGTCTCATGTAGGTAAATTAGACACGCCCAGTCCTACCACTCTTACAATTTTAGATTTATTTCTAAAATCTTTTTAATTAAGCAGGAATACTTTTATGTAGGCCCAGACACATCACTGTCTGCGGATTTGTCTTTCCAAATGCTATGCTCGGCACACGGATGACGAAATCTCGTGCAAACCCGATGATATTTTGATGATTTTGTTCCATCTAATGTCTTGGAGAAAAGGATTTTTTCAATCACAAGGACATATCAAGTGAAAGTAAAAACTTGGGGGAAGCCCGTTATTGCCAGATATTGCGTAATGACCGAGAGTCACGACCAATGCTTTCAAGGTGCGTTCAGCTAGCGGTTGATACGGGAATTGCTCCTTTCTTTCTTTCCCGGTTGACACATTCGCGGATTGATGTGACCTTAACCCGAAAAGAGCCGAATTTCCCTGGCATTGGCTATCCCGTGACCTGTCTCCTTCTGTAGACGTGGCATGGGTTTGCATATGGAAATACACCCAACACGAATACAGCTGCTTTGCAGTTTAATCCGGGGAGGGGAAGGTGTTTCTTTCTGGTGCGAGTATTCATGATGCCCACCCTGGCGCGCAGTGTCGGTCCATGTGCATACGCCAGAGAAGGAAAGCGTTCACATTATTTGGCCGACTTGTACTGGTAAAAATGGGATATCGTGAGCTCTGTCTGTTCGATTTTCATTCACTTGGTGTCAAATTAGTGACGACACATCCTTGAAAAAAACTCTTGAAGGTTCGCCGCGTTGAAAAATAGAAGACATCGCGAGCAATTTCGGGAAAATGTACAGGTGGAATGGGCCGAATTCTGCTCGGCTGTTTTTATGTTACGGTACACTGACTTTAAGGTCTTGACACCTGCTCAGCGGCATTCGGGGAGTAAGGGCCTGAAGACTATCGAGGTTGTAAATGGCTTTATATTTTTCACATAAAAAACAATACATGTTCCTTTTAATTTTGACTGCGGGTCGTATATTAAAAAATGGTTCCATTGGAAAATGGGGCAGACACTTTTTTGAAGCTTTTTCTGATCTGGCTTTCATGCTCATAACCTCTGGCTTTTTCAATTAGAAGAAATAATTACAACTCAGTTTTTCAAAAGCATAAAAAGGAATACATTTAGGAAATGCACGATGACGTACACGACATTAACTGACATTTTCATCACTTCTTTTCAACACACCACGCCATCTTCATTCAATTTTCTTTTTTGTTTTAGAAATGAACAAAGGGAAATCCGCCTCAGGATGTCGTCTTCCTTTTGTGAGCCTTCCTAATTATATTCTGGACCTAACTGTTGCCGGTGAAAGTCTGATTTTTGTCGGTACCACCGGCACAAAGATGACTAATCCCATCATCCTGTCCGACAAAGCATTCAGTATTCTGAATTATTACATCTCTAGCGCAAATTGCAAATCAATTCATGATGGTTTCTCCAAGCCTTAGGTTGAAATATTTAACATGGTTATGTTGGCCTCCGAGCATTTGAAAACTACATGACACTCGCTAAAATAGGTTACACCACTGTTTCTTGACTGTGTCACATAACTTTTATTTCACCACTAATAATTTCTTCTGTCTGTATTTAACGTACACTCTTAGTCTTCTCATATTTTGGACGTGGAAGAAATGAGGCCCTAATTAAAAAAGGACACACACTAGTTAAATGGAATGTTTGAACAGAATTATGCTAAATCGTCAATGCATTTTCGTCTGCAGGAGCACCGAGACCTAATCACGTACAGTCTGCGAATTACCAGACCTCTGTACACCACGTTGGCCTGAAAGCATTCGTAGAATCTGGGAGCTCGTTCATTTCCAGAATTCTCTGAAGCAGTTCATATTCCTATTTGTCAAGTTCCAGTAAATGGATCCGCCCCTGTTTAACTTGATTTCTTCTATGGTTAGACTCGGCAAGGGCACGCGGTCTTTTCAACTCTACTATGAAATATAGGCCTAGAATGGGTTCCCGATAAACAAGTTACAAGGAAAATATGGCAGAGAAATCAACGGGCCACCAAATTAGGAGAACAGTTATACTTCTGTATTCAAAATCACGCCCATTCCGAGAAAATCGAAGCCGTTAACAAATGCGTTCTGTTTTCCTTTAACAAATTACCCACAAAGTCTCACTCTCTGGAAAGCACAAACATGTTCCAAAATAACAGAATTCTACGACTTGCGTCGACCGTGCGGTTAGTCAGAATTTTAAAAAAGGAAAATTTCTTGTAAATGTGAGAAACTGTCTAGTCTGAATAGTATTGAAAATCCTACTATAATAAGCGCATAGTTTTGCCAATTTTGTCATCGTGACAAGTGCAGCTTTCCGTGTACTGCATAAATATTAATTTTGTTACGCTACGGGTATTCAACGTTTTGTCTTACTGCGCGGGCATGTTTTTGGAAATAGGTTCTGATTACAATTTTTCAAAAGATTACTACATGAGAAGAACTTGAACAATTCAACTGTGGTCGTCTCTTCCAAAAGTTGAGAATAGTTAAAAGCGTTCCTACTTTTTCCTAAGGTGTATAGGTCGCTGCCATTGATGTAAATCCCTGTTTGACCGGGGGATGGGGTAATTGAATCTCCCCCCCATGCTGACACACAGACATACTTCCTCATGGTGAGAAAAAAGTTAAGGAGGACGGCTAAGAATTTTTCGGACTTCCCAACAACCAAATGTCTTCAATAGCACCTAAAAAAGAGAACAATTTTTAAAAAAGCCATAAATGCACCGTCACTTTGATGTAAACCCATGCAGGAACCTTACAGTCATCCTGTTTAAGTATTTTGTATAATCCTCTCTCCCCGGTTCCAGGCACACTTTACGCCACTGCCCACTGCGCTGGGAAATCTCCGATCTTCGGATTTCGATTTTGGCCTTTCTTTCACACAAGGAATCCCCGATCATTTGCTATAGGAACGGCCACAGTGTGGAGTCCAACCCATCTCGAGTTCAAGTGTTCGGCAGGATTGTCGGTGAATTATTGCCGCATCGGTGTTACCGTCAGCATTGTTAGCTCAATTGATAACAAGCGCACCAAGTCGGACAGCATCATTTACCAGTCCCAGTTTAGATACACACAAGTGCTATGAGAGCGAAGTTGTTGGCGAACGATTTGAGCCGCCGACATACAGTACATGTACATGTACATGTGCTGAACTGTACGGCCTTTTCTATGCTTCATCAAGGACACAGTGCCTAAGGCCTACGAACAATTCGGGACAAATAAAATAACTGAGGAACTATACGAAAATGCACAGATGAACCATGCAGCCCGCATCTACCTAAAACCTAGAAAAGTTTTAAAGGAGTTTTAAAGTCTAATTTGTCAATTTTGGGACGGCTTTTTTGAGGGGGGGGGCTAGGGGGCACGTGTCCTCCACAAATTTCCGGTTCCTCCCCAACTAAAAGGCGAATGAATAGATATTGAACAAGGCTAACAAAAGCTTGCCCCCAGAAAACCACGTCACTGAAAGTTGGTGCCCCAATAAGATGCTGGTGCCCCCTTGTGCTCCCCACTACGCCACTGCTTTGCATCCACATAAAATGTGAGACCCCAGCCTGGCAACCAGTATGGAATTGGTGATGGTAATTAGAGAAAAGGGCTTGACAAACTCTAGTGTCATTGAACACACGAAACATTTAACCTCTCCTTGCCAAGTCTAGGTACAGGTGCATGAGTACAGATATCTAAAGAATGAAAAGGCTGGCCATTTGGAAGAGTTTTACACACAAACCAAATTTAAAATTAACTTACTGTCGCCCTGTAATTTTCAGCAATTTTAGCAAATCAGCATTACGTCAGCAAAATAAAACAATATATCAATCGATACGCGTCTCACTCATTCTGAAATCGAATGAGACTCGTGCCATAATTTGTACCATAATAGCAAAACTTAGTTTTAAAAAATTTAATTAATAAAACAAAGTAGGCCTAGTTTGCCTAAACAAGCAGATGTCTTATTGTTTGCATCATTTAGGAGTGTGGTCGGGTGATCAAAATTACACGGCTACGGCCATTAGCATCTGTGGGTCCATCCACGCCAGGTGCTCTGTCCACGCACCCAAGTGTGTATTTGCCTGCAACTGGGGACCCCATATATTG